TAAGTGATTTGACTAATCGACACGTTCAAGCACTCATTCTCAATAACTTTTCATAACAAGAGAACAAACTAGAACGATAAATTAACAATTCATTTGACTCCTAGGCAATACAGTTACGAACAAGCCTAGTTCATACGAGCCTATTTCGACCGACTCCTCCCATTTCGGTTCTAAGAGTCGATTAAAGTAGACTAGAGGGTGGTTAACTGTCTAATCAAACAGATTCACCAATTTCAAGCACGAACAAATCAAATTCAATTGAAACAATTGTAAGTTGAAGTGTCACCCTTCAACAATTATCAATATTCAAGACTGACAGTTGAAAAACCCTAATAAAAGATTAACTCACACAAATTGAACAATCTTGAACATGATAATTGCAAATGATATCAAAACATCAATCCCTTATCCCTAGCATAAGGATTTAGCTACTCATAATCGAATAATCAACAACAGCAATCACAACCCAAGAATTCATAATTAACAATTAAATTAAAAGAGATTCTTACGATTGATAATTCTCAAGGATGAATTCGATAAACAAGATTAATCCCGAAAGCATGAAGAAATCCGAGTGTAAATCCGTGTTCAACGATGAAAAATATGAAGAAAAATGAAAAGAACGAGGGAAAGGAATGATAGATAGGGTTTCTGTGTGTTCATGGAATGATAGATAATCTTTTATATCGAGCCCGATCCATATTTATACTCGGCCAACTCCACGGCGTGGTGGGCTTGCAGCGGCGCGGAGGAGTCCTTTGTCACGGCGCGGCACTGTCCTCGCGGCGCAGCACTTCTCGCGGGCGTGGCAAGGGGCAGGACAGGCTCAGTCGAGGTCGTGGTGATACCGCGGCGCGGCAGACACCAGCAGCACAGCGCGACACATCCTCGCGGCGCAGCAGGAGGCTGGGACGGCACGGGTCTGAGCATCTCATGATCCATGTCGCTCTACTTTACGTTTTATGCTCGTATACGCTCATTTGGACTCGGAATTCGATTTCGTTTTCTCCTGTGTGATGCACACGAACTCTTCTATCTGATTACGCTTACCCGACTAATGTTTTCCCAAAATTATATTCTCTCGAGACTTCCAACCTGCACACCACCGACAACGAAAAACAGAAAAAAGACCGAAAAACACAAGAAAGACAAGAAATAGAGGAAACCACGAAATAAACTACATAAAGTCCTAAAAACCAATTAAAACACCTAAAATGGGGAAAAAATAAATACTAAAAGACAACGAAAAACGCAACAAAAATGGGACAAACAAAGTTAATTAATTAAATTGTCACTAATTAAATTAATTAACAAACATTATATCTCTGGCACGGGGAGACAACTAGAGGATGGTAGAACCCATATAATTGGGGTGAAGGAAATGAAGTGTAATAATAAATATGTAGTGGAACTATTTATTATTAATGACCTAAGAAACAATGTGGACTACAACCCTAGTATTTCTTGGCCCATTAGAAGTTCTAATCCTAGCCTTCTTAGTTCCTTGTTGTAGCCCATGTAAAAACCATGTAGGAACATATTCTCATAAATAATCTCAACCCTAGCTTAACATGCAAAAAAGAGGAGAGAAAGAGAGTTCTAAGCCACACGTGAACGATAGAACGTCACCCACACGACGTCCAATCGAGGCAAGGAATACAACATAAGACTCAAGTTGTTGGGCGATCACTGGCAACCAAAGATCACCGTCGATCCACGCACAACAAGCCACAGTGCAGCCCCCCGGTGACACGGTCCAGCGCATGGTAGCACAACCTCGCAGTTTCCATCATGCCGCAACGCCAGTGAAGACGCCCAGCCACAGCAAGTGCGCGACTGCAGCAACCAGGCGACCTGCAGGCAGCAGCACAGAATTCGTTGTGCGATCCCCGGGGTGACGCAACTAGGCAATGTGAACGAGCGACATACGACGAAGACTCAGCGGAGGGACACGGACAAGGCGAGGTGTACGAAGAAAGGTTGAAGAACATCTCAGAACCATTTTTCTGGTCCCATATCTCGTGTAATATGTACAGAGTCAGCTTTTCTAAAACCATAAGATCTTGATCCTAAACTTTAGTTTTTCTTTGTGCTTAGGATTGGTTCTTAGGTAGTCGATTAAAGAACACTAACTGACATTCTGCGCGGAACCTAACAACTGGTATCAAAGCCCAACTTAATTCAATTTATTATGCAAAAGTTGATTTAGTATTGCGTGAATTATGAGCGTACAGGGCGCGACACACATTTGGTGTGTATATATATATATATATCAGTTGCAGGTTTATATGATCCAACTCTTAAGGCCCGTATATATGCATTTAATTTATGCTCGTTTTTAAAAGCCTCAAATATGTCAAGGAATTTTGGTTGGTGATTGCTTGTAACAAGTTAAATGCACAATGGGAGAATGTATAGCTTATTGCTTTATTCGATCAATCAAGTACGACCATTCGTAGTCATAGGATCAAAATTTTAAAATTGTATTATATTGTTTTTTGACAGACTTAACGAGCACGGACAAAGCTCGTACGACTGACTTGACTACCAGACAACCTCGGCATGGTGACTCGACCATCGCGGGCTGGCCAAGTGTGGCTCGCTAAAGTCGTGCATCGCGCACTGAGCGTTGGTAGCTTGCTGCCAGTGCGCCCTGGTCAGGCTAGAATGTAGGATGATGCGTGCAAGAACCTAGGTGGCAGCTGTTGGGGTAGGCGCGGGCAGAAGACGGGCAGACGCAGACAGCCAAGCGTCATGCAAGATTCTCAGGCATGTGTGGGGAGTGCGCGACATTGTTGCAGGTGCAAGTCCACGCGCAACCCATAGTCGGCGTACGACACAGAGAGGTGAGAAGCGACTGTGGCCTATGAAGCATGCGTAGTGCGCGACATCTGAGGGGCTAGTACGGCGCTACCGATGCACGATTTATTTGCGGATGCTCGACGACGTGCTCGCGTAGAGCTTGCGACTGTTGTACGCAGCCCCATTGCATGTAACACTTGGTGATGAATTAGCACGACTCCTGTCGAATGATGCCATGCACACCGAATGAGTGGCGATAGGCGACGACCCAACTCTGGTGACTTTTTCGGCGGTAGCAGTGGTGAAGGTTGCTCCCAACTAGGAAAGATCAAAAGTCGAAATGAATAGAGGAATATTAGTTCAATTGGACAAGGATTCCAGTTTCCATGTCCAGATTGGACAGATATTTAATGGCCATAATATTTGAATTTACTTCCAATTTTATTGTTGTTAAATATGGATATGTAAACTAATTAATTTATATATTTGCATAGTAAATTAATTTTGGTAAATGCATATTTATGAAAATCCCTTATTTGTAAAGTGTTAAGTGGGAGAGGGAATTTCTAATTAATAAAAAAATTAATTATTTATTCTCACGACCTTCATACTAGTTCGTTTGATGATGTAATAAGTTTGCGTGTGGGCTTAGATTTCCGACCTCCATATCGAATGAACTTATTTCGGGTCATCATAAATGAATTTTCTTCAGGATGGTTATATGAAGTTATGTGGGGGCATACATACCTCTCCATCTGTATGGCATTTACATTCGAGTAATGGACTTAGTATCATGTAATGGGTCACACTTAAGCAATATACATTTTAGTATCATCCCCATCGGAGTCACTGCTAATTTTTTATTTGGCCAATGATACACCAACTACTAATTTTATTTGTCAAAGGAGATAGGTAGACATGATAGTAAAATTAATGGATAAACCTTATTGGGAAAATTTGTGAATATGTTTACATTCATACGATCGTGGTATGCGAAATTCCCGGTGATTGAGGTGCCGGTAAATTTAAAATATATTGTTTGAGGGATCAATATTCAATTTAATTTCAAAAATTAACTAGAAATTCATTTTGCATTATTCCGAGGATATTCAAAATGTCTTTCAACCCACTTGTTGTCATACTTAAGGAAAATAAACTTACTAGTCCAAATTACTTTGATTGGAAGCACAACTTGGATATTGTTCTAACTACTGAGGGGGTACAAATTTGTGTTGTCTGGGGAATGTCTTAAGGAGCCCATTGATACCTCGAGTGATGAGGCGAATGAGGCATTTAGGAAGTGAAAAAAGAGCGATGAGATGGATCGCTGTTATATACCGGCATCTATGTCAAATCTATTGCAACATCAACATCAACCTATGGACACTGCCTATGATATGCTTTTTCATCTCAAGGAGCTCTTTGGTCATCATTCTGAGCTGCGAGACAAGAAATGATGAGGATCTTGATGACGACCATCATGGTCGAGGGCACTCTCCAGGATGGGCGGGGCTAGCATTTTGAAAACCCTCCAAGATGGCAGGTCTGCCCACCGTGGCCCGCTAAACGACGGGTTTCGGCGAGCTACGGGTTGCCCGCCCCGCCGTCCCATTTTGACATGCCTATCTTTGCCCAAACTTAAGCCGACAATACTATTTAACAGAAGATAACCTAGGTGTTAACTGATAGAGATAGACTTTTTTTTTTTAAATAATTGAAATAAAGGATTTAACAATCTATCTCTTTTTTAGTTAAAGTTTTTTTTATTGGAATATATGATATTTTATCAATTTTAATTAATTTTTAGTATATAACTTTCATATTAACATTTAAATTCAATTTGATATTGAGGAAAATAAAAAAATTATTAACGTTAGAAACAAACGACAATTTTCTATATAACATTAGAGAAACAAAACGACATATATCAATTACCATATGTAAAATGACAGCTTTTTCCTCAAAAACAATAGTCGCTATTAATATCTCCAATAAGAAGTCCAGGTAGATCTAGTTTCCAGGCACATCTCCAAAATCAATGAGACTCCTAGAGTCTTTATAAAAAAATGAAAGAAAGAAAAAATAAAACAAAAACTACATGATGAATTCCCAATATCACATTTGGNAAAAAAAACAAAAGAAAAGAAACGAAAAGACCTATATATTCCCTCATTATTATGATGTATGCATAGATTGAGATGAAATTGCCTAAGAGATTTAGGTTAAGTGGTGGAATTAAAGCTGGACATGTGGACGGATCCGAGATTAGTGAGCATGAGGGGACGCTCATCATCTTCATCATCGTCTTCACCAATTGTCTCGACATTGACGCACGCGCAACGCTCCAAGGACGCAAAGAACGCGGCCGCCACGCTGGTGCCAAGCCATCGAGCGAGGCCGTCCACTTTGTCGTAGCATGACGTCGTCTCGATGCTGTTTTCCATTTTTTTCCTTTCTATAACAACAATCTGACTGGCACAAATTGCATTTTGTTTGGATAGTCAATGGTATAAATTATGTTGGGGTTGACCGCTACTTATAGTAAATGCAATTTATTTATCTTTTATCTATGACCGTAAAGTGAGTCGCGGTTAAAAGTATGCTAGTAAAACAACATAATCAATCTCTTCCACACGCATTCTCAATTATTTGTTTGGGGAAAATTATCCTCCAAATGTAGTTATTATTATTTTTTTTTTTATATAACATTTCAAAGTTGTACAAGTTATCTTTTAAAGTATGTGAATATATTCAATAGTTCGCATACTAATCAAATTATGCATTATATTTTTTAATATTTATTGTTCCATATTATATGAGTATATATTATAATTAAAAATAATAATATGGGAACTACTTAATTCCAAAGAGCTCCTTGAGATTGAAAAGCATGTCATAGGTGGTGTCCATGATATTGAAGCACATTAGACATAGATGTCATAATGTACCAGCAAGCCGTCTTGTCAGCCTTCTTTCACCTCACATAATTCTCATTCTCAAGCTCAGTGGGAGCCTCAGTGGGCTCGTCCGGGCAATTCTCAAAGAGTACAAACTTGTACACCCTCTAAAGTCAAGACAATGTCTAAGTTCCTCATCCAATCAATGTAATTGGGACCAGTAAGTTGATTTTCTTAGAATGACACAAAACGGATTGAAACATATTCTTGAGAATCATGAAAAAATTTACTAATTAAACATATTTTGAATTTAAGCATTAATATTGATATCCTCATAATAATATTAAGTTAAATTCACCGACATGTCAAAACACTTGGAATGACATATTCCACGTTAGGGAAGCTCTACGCATTCAACTTTGTAAGAGAAGGGCTTTTAGAAGATCCCATTAATTTTTATAAGCCAAAACCAAATTTATGTTGAACGATATTAATAGTCGGTTTGCCTTTGGCCATGTGAATGAAATTCATTGACTCCATTAGAGGAGGGTGGTTCTTGTCATATTCTAAGTGAATCCCATTTCTAGATCCTAAGTTCTTTACGAAAAGATTTAGTCCTCAGTTAAGCGGGGTCTTACGCTCTAACCATAATTTTCTATAATCTTTGCATTTCGTCCTTGGGATTAATCAGTTAATTTTCGGTAATGTTCCCGGTTAGGCGAGGTCCACAGTTCCAGAAAATTACATCACTGATAAACCAGAAATAGAGTCCTTAGGATTTTAAAATTATCTCAACTTTAAAAATTCCTTCTCCCACCTAGTACTTTAAAAAGAGGATTTTGATATGCAATTTAATTGATTCACATGCCACCAAGCAATTTAATTAATTAATTAGTTTTACATATTATTAATTTATTAGCATTTTTGGCAGTGTTACTTAATCACATGCATATATAAACAATTAATGGAACATATTAAAACATGGAAATAAAAATCCACTATAAAGTCCATTAATTTAGGATCTTTTCTAATTAGAAAACTATCAAATCCCTTTCCAATTGGGAAAAATATTTCATATAAGAAAGATTTTATGAGGCAACAAACTTCTTGTCCAAGGTTACTTCATTCATCGGAATTGGCGAACCCCACCGTCACTGTCCCCAGAGTCACCTGAAAATTTTGAGTTCGCCAGGCTCGTCGCACGGGTCTCTCGGCGCATGCGCTTGCGCTGCCGACGTTGTATGACATTGTCGTGTAGCATTCCAACTGCCCAAGCGATTATTGCGTGTGGGTCGCTCGAGCATCACCTAATCGTGAGCAAAGCATACGACATTGCATTGAGACCACGCTTCCAGCAGTCGCACGTCTTCAGGTCGAACGCTAGCTTCTCACGATGTTGTCTGCTCGCTCGGGGAGCCTGTGCACAGCCTGCGTGCAGATACGGGTCTCTACGGCATAGCCTTGCACGAGAATATCGTGCACTGTCCGCAGACCCGCCGTACGATGCCGGTCGCACATCGCTGAGGCTTTCGACTCCGTCTCTCAGTGATCTCACAGCGCTTTCTGCAGCCTTCACTAGGTTGAGCGCCTCTTGGCCGCGTGCGACATAAAGCTGTTCGCGACCCTTGCATGACCACGTGCGTCAGCGACTGTGCGATCTCTGGGTCTTGTCGTCGGTCGTGGAGATCTGCCGGGCTTCGTGGTTGTTCTAGCTCGTCCGCAAACAAAAATAATTTACATAAAATAAATTACATGAATCCTAGACCCACAAATGAGTTTACATGCTCGTCTAAACAAAAAAATAAATCTATACAGTATCCCGCTGTGCGAATAAATTTGTTACAAGCATTCAAAACCCAAATTCCTCGACAATCCCGAGGCTTTATAAACATGCATAAACTAAAACACATACATTCAATGTCATAACAGAGGATTGACAATTAATCCTGCAAAACTAAAATGGAATAATAATAATCCAACAATTATATGCACTGCCTTAAACACAATAAATTTATGCATATTAAACACATAATGCCTGATGATCAAAAGTTAATACAATACACGAATTAAACCAAGTACTCTGATACCACTTGTTGGGGTATCGTTAGGAACGTCACATATCCTAGAAAAATATAAGCCTAAGCCCATCAGACTAGAGAATGGTTTGAACACTCGCGGCTTAAAAATTGCAGACTCTTAAGAGTTTCTACATTCCGTTAACTGAGATCGTCTGAACCAATCTTCAGAATTGGATCATCTGATTGTCGGGGTCGCGGGGTTGCCAGTCGTTGCTCGGCTATCGGGCAGTCGGGTCGCGGGACTGAACGTGTGCGTCTGGGCTCAGCGTCGCACGACAGGTTGTTGCGGTCAGGGCATGACGTGGCGGCTGGGGCGTCGCAGGATTCGCTTGGTCGCAGCTAGGTGGCGCTCATGGGTTGTGGTGCAGGGCTGCAGACGGTGGACGTCGGGTGACTCGGAGTCTCGAGTTTACCTCGAGATTTCTATTGTATTACCTTACACTCTTTGTTTGTCTTAGCGGCTAAATCGTAAATGGTCTCACAACTAGATTGTTATCATAAGGAGGAGTGTATTTTGTAGGCCCCCTCTTTTTATACTTTTGAAAGCTTCTAAATTTCTCAAGTAAATTTTCTTTTCTCAAAGCACTTTGGAAACTTTAGGGTACTCTAGAAAAACTTCCACTTTTTAACTTTGCGGAAAATTTGCTTAACTTAAAACTTGCTCTTGTACTCTTATGTGAACTCGCTTCCTAACTGGCTTTCTTAACTTCTCATAACTCATCTCATACTTGAAATAGTAATCATACTCGAATAAATAAAGCATGTTCATAAAACTCAACCATAGTTCGGAAAATAGTTCTCGAAACGAGTCTAGAAAAAAATCTTAAGCATAGTACTAAAAGTTCATAAATAATTCTAATGGGTCTACTTCTGGATCTGAAGTGAACCGGCGGTTTTGGGCTCAGATCTGCTTGAATCTCCTTCAAACTGTTGCTAGACCGCAACAACACCTGCAAGAACTCAACGCCGGAAGTGTTTCCGTCTTTGAGCCTCCAACGCTCAAGTCAGTATGTGAAAGAGATGGAGAAGAAGGCTGCTCTCAGAGAGCAGCAGCAGCAGTAGGAGAGTGTATAGAGTGAATGGAAGTTTGGGTTTAGGGTTACCTCATCCCCTTTATATAGGAGGAAACACTTACTTGAAGTGCCTAAAATGCCCTGGTCGACACACTTGAGATGTCCGAAATACCCTGGACGGTTAGTCTTCCCTTACTGCTGAGTCATCACAAGATTCTTTCTTATCCATTAGAGAATAAGAGACTTCAACGAGTATCTGCAAGTGTATTGAATCGTTGGTATGCTTTGGGCCTCGAGGCGCAAGAAGTCGACCTTGAGCACTATGAGGTCGACTTATGATCGTATGAGCATTCGGAGGCTATGTATATTATTCTTGGTAGAGGTCGACTTCTTGGGTCGACTTAGTGAAGTCGAGTTTGACGTTGATGACTTTGTGTTAAACCAGTTCTCGTCTCCAGATGGCCCATGCAAAGCTGTCAAGTGTCAAGGGGTCAACTTACGCATGTCGACTCAGCGAGATCAACATGTAGATGGTCTTCAACTCGTATTTCCGGTCGAGCAAGTAGCACTTAGAGGATGTACTTAGACCGGTATATCATAATATGGCTATATCATCTAGCTTTGTCTTTATCCCAAAAAAAAAAAATTACTCTAAGCGGTCTAGAGCTTAAAAGTAAATTTGGTGGTCGAGTGGCATACTTATTTGCTTCGCACCGCGATATCTCTCTTTGTGCTTTTCGTGTCGGCGACTCGTCTCTTCCTCTCATGAAACTGTGTTGTAATACTCCATGATTATTTTTTTGGATAAGTCTGACATCCTGACGTCTTTTCAAATTTCGAAATTTGAATCTGGACATATCGCGTCACTTCAGTTATGCCGCTTCGAATTCCGTGTCGTATCCGGACCGTTAGATCTCTCTTTGATCTAAGGGTCAGGGTTCACCTTCCTTCTGCATAAATATCATTTCCTTTAGCCACAAATCACTTTCCACATCTTCTCAAATTATCATTCTCTGAATTCTCGAGTTTCCCTGGCGATTAAGGCGTTCCCGAGTCTCATCGGCATTCAGTTTTCCGGCGACCACCAGTTTCTTCAAGACTTTTTCAATCGCGATTATGTGTAAGTTTTATCTCTCAATCTTTGCAAGTAATTGTTGTTGTTTTTTATTTCGATTTTCTAGGTTTTTTCCAGTTTGGAGACCGTAGGTGTTCTTTGTGTTCTTCAAACCCCTTCTTTTTTTATATGGATTTTGCGTTACATCTCCTTTGCTCGAATTTTTCTCTTGGTTTTATGTTTTCCTCTGCTTTGTCGCGTATCGACTTTTGTCATGAAGTCGATTTATGCATCTTCCCTTAGACCGATTTCCGTCGACTCGACAGTGTGTTGCTATTAAGTCGATTTAGGTTTTCCAAAACCTACCATCTATCTCTTCTACGATTAAGGAGAGTCGAGCACGTTTGTGGCTTAACTTGCCTTTCTGGTGACTATTCTTCTCTTGAGTCAATTTCCTTCGATAACTTTTTCAAGTCGACCTCGTTTCTCATATTAGTCCTGTTAGCCTTTTCTTCATTTCTTAGTCCGTGCTTACTGATTTCGACTTTTTCTCTTCTTTTCTTTCTTAGATTTTGACTCTGACTCTTCGCCCGATACTATTGAGCGTTTGATCGATAAAGGTCCGCAGTCGTCTGACTCGGTACAAGTAGTCGACTTTAAGTTAGCTGACCAGTCACAGGATTCTCCCGACTCTGATGCATCCTCCTTCGGTATTGACCGGGATGCATATAATCAAGCGTGGATGTCGGGTGTTTTAATGGAGGACCCAGAGTCCTCCCGAGTTAGAGGGTCTCCTCGTCTCGACCTCATTCCCCGAGGTATTCCCCTTATGATCTTAGATATTCCTGTGTATAGAACAAGTCCTTCTTCTTTACCCATAATTGCGCCTCTTCTCGAGGTTCAAAATGTTGTATCTGTAGCATGTCCATTAGTTAAATTAGCTGTTTTAAATCCTTTTTGATATGCCTCTGCAGCTGAGGTCGAGGGTTTTAAAGTGTTCAACGGACTCCCCTCCGACTGCGAGATGGTCGTTCCTAGTCCAAATGACGACTTCGCTCGTCCTCGCGGTTATTATACCTTTTTTATAGACCATGTGATGTTCGGTCTTCGCTTCCCGATTCAGTCCGAACTTCTGGCTATTAGCGACTTGTACAATGTCCCAATAAATCAATTTTCTCCAAATGCAATCCGCATCATGATTGCTTTCATCGTCGTCTCCAGAATAAAGCTTCAATATTTTTCTCCTGAATTTCTTTTTTTACTGCTACGGCTATAGATTCATAAAAGACGCCCATTGCTTGGGTCGTTGTGCCGGTGTCACTTTCCTCGACAACCTTTCCTCGATTGTGACCTGGTGAAAGTCGAAATTTGTTTTTATTCGATCTGCCTCTGGTAAGTATCCCTACCCCAACGAATGGATCACCTCCAAAGTGAAACAAAATAAACGACAACGATCGGATAAATTTTCGTCGATGTTGGCCGAGCTTAATAAACACACTTATAAAGCTCGTCCGTTGATCAAGGAAAGCTCTCTCCTTAATCATGTTGGCATTGTTGTCGAAGAGGATATTCCTCGTCTCGACGACCCTCGTAAGTTCACCTGTTATTCCTCACATTTGTTGTTTTAATAGGTAGTTCGTGATTCTCGATTTCTTTGTCTTGTTAACGTGTAAACTCTTTTTTGTTGTAGATTCCGTCCTTGCTTGTTTTGAAAACGTGAAGGCCAAGGGCAACGGCAAACCCGCCGGCCGAGTCACCCCCCCGAAGAAGCCTGACGGTGGCTCAGGGTCGGATATGGGGAAGGTGTCAGCCGAGGCGACTGCTGTCAAGAAGGCTAAGGTTGTGAATCCGTCTGCTGCCAAACAGTAGAAAGCGTCGGGTTCACAATCCCAAAAGTGGGCTCAAGATGAGGCCGACTTCACCTTGATTCCCGACTCACTCAAGCGCCATAAGAGTAAGGATAAGGGGAAGTCGGCTGTGAATCTCTATCCTCCCTCTGGCAACTTTGAGAAGGTCACTCTTAAGAGGCCGTCTTGACTCTGAGATAATCCCTATCCGCACAAAATTGCTAAGTAAATCGACTCCATCATCCCTGCCGCCGAAAAAGCTCGCGCCAACCGTGATCCTCATGACCGTGTCGGCCGTGCTCGACTCTATTTCTCTTGGGTAATTATCCTCGATTTTCCTTCAGTCGATTTTGGTTTCTTAGTTCTAACTTTGTTTTTGTGATTTTTTTTTAGTTTATGGCGTATATGATGCCCACTCTTCTCGAGGAGTCCAGCTCGCCCGACTGGAACGTCCATGCTTACAAGAAAAAGTGTGAAGACCAGGCTCTCGAGCTCGAGAAGAGGGATCACGACCTCGCGGCGGCTAACGCTCTCATTGCCAAGCTTAAGATCAAGAGGGCCGCCGCTCTTTCGAAGGTCGACCAGCTGTGAACCGACCTTGAGAAGGCCACTGATGAT